CACAGGTAGAGCTAGTATTGCCGTGGCTCTGCCCATGGGGGGCTTTCACGCCACCACAAGTGGAGGGAGGCTACACAGGTAGAGCTAGTATTGCTGCATTGACATCGCTGTGGACATGTCATTGCAAAGACCATAGAAATATATAGAGGCACTTATATAGAGACATATTACTTATATTATTTCTATAGTAAACACACTGTGTTGACGTTGATTGGCTGTGTAGACTTTGTCATGCAGTCGCGCCAGACTATCTATGTGGTGATAAAAACTTTGTTACAGCTTCTTATTCGTACGTTCCTTATTAGATGTATCATTTCGATAACTGCACCAGGGCTGTAGCTCATGGGGGAAGCTAAGAGGGTACCCCCATAGAGAAATGTAGATATGTATAATGTAGCGATGCTGGCGTGCAAGTAGGCGAGGTATACGGTCCGGCATATTAGATAGTACCAAGAGTAGATAATAACACAATGTGTTATTATCTACTCTTGATAGTACCAGGGTACGTTCCGGTATACCTGACTACCCAGGGTACGTTCCGGCAGTACCCTGGGGGACATAGACCCTCTCAGCATTGCTCGGCTGTAAATGCAGTATGTAGATATAGCTAATGGCATAATGACATGTTACATGTTGCCATTACTGTTAGCACAGCAGGTGGGGTACAGCGCTCTCGTTTCAACAGCGTGATTGAAAAAACGCCCCGGCGACGCCAAATTATTCCGGCCCACGTTTAGTTATGGCCGATATACCCCGTGATTTTTACAAGGTAGGTCGTTGTAAAAAACGACCCTGGACTAGTTGTCCGCTACCGGCTTTTAAGATTCGTATTGCTCCCGTAAAATTCTGACGGGTGGGAACGGGGTTGGTATTGCTGTGTACCGCTGTATGAGCGTGGGTCTAAAACATGAAAAACACGTGTTCTAAATTTATGGCTCTATCAGTGCGGTTTTATTACATTTCACGGCGTTTCCTTTTTTTGGAAAACAACCCGGAAGGGAAACCGCCATACACCGACATGTTTATTTCAAACTTGTGCTTTAATTTTTGAATGAGCAGCGAATATTATACTACGCACGCATGCGCAGATCCTCTCTCTCTCTCTCTCTCTCTCTCTCTCTCTCTCTCTCTCTCTCTCTCTCTCTCTCTCTCTCTCTCTCTCTCTCTCTCTCTCTCTCTCTCTGCTGTCGCTTTAGATAGCATGAAAACTTTCTTTCATTCAGAGGAAATGCATTTCAACTTGCGAACGACGACACGCAAGGGTTTTTCCCCATACCAGTTTTCCCCGCCATTGTGTTTTTTCGGTTAACGGCAAACATAAAACGATTCTCTCTATTATCATATTCTCAGGAGTGAATAATATATAATAGTGAATCTATTATTATTCATTCCTGATATGATTTTATTCGCATTGGGAGCATAATAAATACAACAGTCGTTTGTCGTTTTTTTTCGGACAGAAACATGAATGAACCGTCGCTATAATGCAGTACAACCCCCCCCCCCCCATGTACGAACGTTCTCTCTCTCTCACGGTACCATGACGTAACCAACCTCTCTCTCTCTCTCTTTCTCTGCAGGGGCGATCCGGACAGGTTCTCGCTCATCGGCAACACTGCGCTGCACTGCTCCGCGCACAACGGCCACCTCAACTGCGTCTCCTTCCTCCTCAACTTTGGCGTCAACATCTGGGCGCTGGACAACGAGTTCCACACAGCAATGGACCTCGCAGCGATGCAGGAACACATGGAGATCGTGCGCTACCTTGACGAATGCGTCGCCAAGGAGAGCATGCTCAACAAGAAGACGGTCGCCAAGCTGAAAGAAAAGAGCATCCTCGACGCGCAGAAGCGCGTGAAGATCTACGAGAAGCTGCAGAAGCAGGCGAATCACCGAGCGGAGATCGAGCACCAGCAGCAGGAGGAGTGGCAGGCGCAGCAGACTTCTGGAGTGAAGGCGGACCGCAGCACGCTGAGCAAGATCAACCAGTTCCGCCGTCGCATCAGCCATACCGGCACGGTAACAAGCAACACTTCCACCACCTCCTCGCAGGGCCTCTACTCGAATTACGTCGGCACGGGCGCGCGCAAGGCTCAAGGTCCCGCCGCGCGCAAAGCGTACGAGCGCGTCAACGGAACGACGAACGGCGGATTCAACTTCGGGCCGGCCGGCAAGCAATCTGTGCGCTCCCTGCAGGAGGTTGCCGGCGGCAACGTCATCATGGGCCGCGCCATCTCAGAACCGGAGATCTATCAGGCGACGGACTCGGGATACGGCGGCGACTACCACAACGCGCCGCAACGACAGAGCATCTTCGAGCGGCCCGGCTTCGGCAACGTCGCCTTCCGCCGCGGCTCGATGGCGGACGCCTTCTGCTCGCTGCCAGGAGAGGGCGCTGATGACGACGGCGACGGCGCGCCGGACTCGACGACGGTCGGCACGGAGAACAGCATCGGCAGCGCGGGCAGCCTCGCGCAGCGCACGCGTATCCATGGCGACCCAGCGTTGCCGTGGAGCGACGACGTCCTCATCGAGGAAGACGAGTACGACCCGAACTGCCCCCTGGAGGCGTTTCTTGCGGCGCACGGTTTACAAGAGTGCATCCTGCCTCTGAGCCGCGAGCGGATAGACCTCGACGCACTTATGCTCGTGTCGGACAGCGATCTGAAGGAGATCGGGCTGCAGCTGGGGCCGCGCAAGAAGCTGATGGATGCCATCGTGAGGCGACGCATGACCATGGATGACCCGGGACCGATGGAGGACACTACGTTGTGATGCAGAGAAGAGAAGACACCATTTTGTGATGCTGCGTGGGACACCATGTTGTGATGCTGCAGGTGACACCATGGTGTAATGCAGGGACATGGATGACACCATGGTGTGATGCTGCAGGGGACACCATGTTGTAAGGCTGCAGGTGACACCATGGTGTGATGCAGGGACATGGATGACACCATGTTGTGATGCTGCAGGTGACACCATGTTGTGATGCTGCAGGTGACACCATGGTATGGTGCAGGGACATGGATGACACCATGTTATGATGCTTTAGGGGACACCATGTTGTGATGCAGGGACAGGAAGGACACCATGTTGTAAGGCTGGAGACACCAGGTTGTGATATGAAGATAAGCTGCAGTAGGAGGCCAAGATGACGACATCATTGCCATAGCAACCGGTCATGGCAACTGATCATTTTATGGTTGCGTCTTTTGTGGGTGTCAACCCCATGTGGTGGGACGTGTTGCTCTCGTGAGATACAGTCACAGAATCCAGTGCCTGCCTCATTGATGAGTGTCACATGATGGGTATCATTGTCATCATCAAGATAACTAATCAAGTCAATTGATCCACCAGTGGCGGTCTACTGGTTGTGTGTCATGTGGTGATCGTGTGTGATACTGGACGTTTTGTGGTGAACATACCCTGAAAGAGAGAAGTATTTTCGTGTGCGGTGGTTTAAACAAAATAAATGTTAATATATTATATCAGTGGAGAAAGTAATATTATCCGTTGATGATGATCTGTGCTGTGGGAAATTATCTAAAATTGTGACATAAACTGTATAATCTACCCGATGATGTGATTGTCTGGTATTTATATAAAATTCTATACAAGGAATGATCAAATGGTGCGTCATAAAATTAGATTTAATTGAAAACGTAACCATGGTAACCATATCGATTGCCACTTAGAAAAACCAGGGAATATCCTAATAATTAAACTTTATACTAGTGTATTACTATGTTTATTCTTAACAGTGCTGTACGCGGCAGTGATTTGCCAGTATAGTGACAATAAATGGCCTCGAAAACATTCTGTCTGTCCTCTATAAGAAATCATATGATCAATCTTATTGTACGTCTGCTATTATTATTAACATGTATTTACTGCCTATTCAGTGCTATCACACGTGAATGAGATAGGATGTCATAAAAGGGTTGAATGTCATGTGATAATCCAGCATTTCTAGACAATCTGTACCTATGGCACTCGCGGGCAAACTAAGGTTCGCCTATAAGGCCATCCTTGAACAATTCTATGTTTGCTGTCCCCCGACCCATGATTTTTTTAGTGGGTAGGTAGGTAGGTCTTCTTTTTTTTAGGCATAATAGTTATTTTAAGTCTGTCCTCATGTTTGCCACACATGCTTTGTGTTTCAGTCTTAACTATAAGGAATGTAAAAAAAAAAAATTATGGAACCCAAAATGTAAAAAAAAACGTTTGGGTCGCGGCTATTTTCGGAGGACAGCAAACATATAATTTTTTAAGGATGGCCCAAAGTGTGAGGAATAGGTTGTGATTTACCATCAAGATGAGTCGTGAGCACGTTGAAGTGATGAAGCACATGCGTAAATGCCAAATAACAGATGCCTTTGTGTCTGAACCTTGTATTGTTTGTACTGTTTTATATGTTTTCATCATGGAGAAGAAAAGCAAATCTGCATTGAGTGTATACGTGAATCAGGTATCTTTTACAATCATATGTTGTGTTAAGAAGAGGTTGTTAAAGAGATAGCAACTGAAGGACATTGTGCCTGCATGAACCCATATTGATGTATTGATATGATACAACATTTATATTCAATTTTCGTGTACGTAATCAGTATATACATTGGTTCACGTTGCCTTATATGCCAGACGTGCGCCTGTTGATTCAGTACTTTCCTTGTACGCGCTTACAGGCTGCATGTGGTGCAGTTGAGGTTTCATTATTGTAATCACATCCAATTGGCAGCGCGTAATAATCACCGAGGTTAGTCACATATATGCTCTGTAAGCGCTCTGTTGTGGTCCACGGTTCGCGTGCCATTGTCATGCCACGCAACAGCCTTAATTGTACGACATCTGTGCAATTATTTGAAATTATACGCCTTATCAATAAGCAGAATATATATATATGGCTCACGTACAATCGCGATATGTCCAGGTAGAGCCATTTTAAAATTGTGACGTTCATTTTAGAATGAAACTTTTGAGCGAGTTACTGGGAAGTCGGGATGGTGAGCAATCATATAGGCTCTTATGTACGTGGTTATATGAAATCGTGATTTTGACAGCAAGCCACGTGTGTGTAGCCTACTGCTAGCACTGCATGTTTTATGTTAGTCTTGCAACGTCACGGATCTTGCAAATGCAGGAGCAATGTATGTCGCACAACTGCAATAATGATTGCATCACAGAATGCCTTGATGTACATATATGTAATCTTCAGCCAAATTACAAGAAGAGCGGCGTGTAGCTCGTCACAATAATAGGCAGCATTGTTTTACAATGTACTAAATGTTGATGTGTTGAAGACATTAATAGAAAATTAGCCATCATCTTTGGTGTAAATAAAAATTCAACCCAGATATGGATGGAAATTCGTAGTAGAATCTATTGAAATGTAAACTTAATCATGATGATAGATATAATAAACCGTTCACGTCAATAACTTACTTTTGTTTCTTTATATGATGCATTTAATCGTTTCAACAACATTACACATTTATATTAAACATATATTATTGCGTTATGTCAATATGATCATAGATACCACAACGTATCACATACATAGTTGTGATATTTATTGGTTATGAGAGTTAGGGACAAATAATAAATTCATGCATGCAAGTTAATTCATACTTCACTTGCACCTGACGAGTTACAATGTGCGTGTAAGATGCGGAAAGATTGTGCAAAATAAGCGTAAATGTATTCATTAATTAAAATCGAGTGGTAAGACACCTGATTTTTGTCCATTTTCAATTCTACCTGGACGCAAAATGAAAAATCAGGTAAATTAATGACTAGACAGCGCCACCTAATGTATGAAATAGTAACTAACCAAAGCGCGCGCTTTGTTTGTGCGACGCTCTCCAAGTTTACACATTTCCATTTACGCTCTCGCGAGAAAATTAGTCACGTGACCTACTGTGGCAAAAATGGCGGCCTTCTGGCGAAATTTTTGAAATGGACCAAAAATTGCGAGAAAAACCTCAGGCTTCTCATTCTGAGTACATCATATTTGTTAACAACAAAGAAAAACATCGGAACCATAGCGCAGGGCCGATATTTTGAGGCAAAATGCGCGGAAGAGGCCGCCGTGGGCGTCCGAGATCGTCCTCACCCGCCGTTGTGGTGGATAGGAAAGCGACAACACGGGGACGGCTTTTATCTGCCAGACGATCGCGAGGTAGACCGTGCCGACAGTGGTCGCAGGTCGGATCCGATTTCAATTCCCGGTCGAATACCCCGAATTCAACATTTGGGTTTCAAGATGGGGGCTTTCACAGCACACCACCCGTACATCGTCATCGGTCTAGAAGTAGAGGACCACGGAGAGGACTGTCAACGAGACGGTCTGAGAAGGGACGGCATTTCATCACCTCTTTCAAACACGTCATCAAACCCTACGACGATGAAGTGTATCCGAACAGCGACATCGAGGATAATTCTGACACGGACAGTTCTACGTCGCGCGATGCCATGCACTCGACCCCGGCGTTGTATTCCGACTACAGCCTCGGCGACTCGGACCCCGAGAGCGAAGGCTCTGAGAACGGGTCCGTCTGCACGATCAGCAGCACTGCGAGCAGCCAGCGGAAGATCTCCTACCTGCCGCCGCGCTTCTGCCCCTGGGTGGACGTCGACGCGGCGGACATCCCCGCGCTTGTGCTGCCGCCGTCGTCGGACGACCTGCTCATCCCGAAGGAGCACGTACTCGACGCGATCAGCGTGTACGAGACGCTGCGCCGCTTCCGCCGCATCGTGCGCATCTCGCCGTTCCGCTTCGAGGACTTCTGCGCGGCGATGTGCAGCGACGAGGCGAACACGCTGCTCGCGGAGGTACACATGCAGCTGCTGCGTGCGCTCTGGCGCGAGGAGGACGGCAGCAACACGACCTTCGGCCCGCCGGACCTCCGCGACAGCATCAACGTCTCACTCTTCTTCCTCGACAGCGTCACGTGGCCGGAGCTGGTCAAACGCTACTTGGACAGTGACCCGGAGTTCCAGCCGGCGCTGCGGGGGGTCACTCGCGCCGACTACCCTTTTGTTTCCCTCGGCGAGCGTCTACGCGTGCTCAAAGTAGGTCTTCGAGGTTTTACGCAGTTTCCGACTATTTGTGAATGCATTTCCGGATTCCTTAATAACGAGTGTGCGTAGTACAGTTGATCGATTACAACGGACTTTAACCGGACCGATCTCATTGATAAATTCACGGAAATGTGTGCCGATTAGGAATTCGAATGAACTTCCATAAGTCATGGCGGCATGAAACGCCAATAAGTCATGGCGATTACATCCTTGTTTTAGACGTTCTATGTCATATTGAAGTATCTATAGTGAAGTTAACATGTCTTTAGAACAATGGTGCTAACACCAATGCCAACCCGTCTGCTATCACCGACGCGCCCTCCGCTTTCACCGACGCGCCCTCCGCTGACGCCACTGCCAATACCGAATGCTGCCGTCAACCCACCCGCCAACACTGCCGGCCAACGCCAACCCGCCCGCGCGCCCGCCAACACCAACCCGCCCCCCAATGCCAACCCTCAGGCCCCCGGCAACACCGACCTACCCTCCAACGCCACTCCTCCCGACAACACCAACCCAATACCGGCCCGCCCGCCAACACTGGCTCGCCCGCCAACACCAACCCAACTCTGTCACGCCCGCCAACACCAACCCAACTCCGTCACGCCCGCCAACACCATCCCGCCGCCAATGCCAACCGTCCTGCCAGTTCCCAACAGCCCCCAACAGCCCGCAACAGCTCCCAACAGCCCCCAACAGCCCGCTAACAGCCCCCAACAGCCCACAACAGATCGCAACAGCCCGCAACAGATCCCAACAGCCCGCAACAGCTCCCAACAGCCCCCTAATAGCTCTCAACAGCCCCTGCCAGGGTTCGAATTTTGGCTGAAAATCTAGTGGACAGCAGGACCACCAACTTCAGAAAGTTGGTGGTACTGCACAAAAGTTGGTGGTCCGCTTATTTACTAGCAGTGAGTGACAAAATAGTATACAAAAATAACTATTGGCATTAACAGCATACATGTAAGGCCTAAGATAAAATATTGCTTGTTTCCCTTTACTGACCGACTCGCCAAAACGCCGCTACTCGACACATTTTATTGGCCGATTAAAACAAAACAAAAATTATCGCCAAAAAAATTTTTGCCAAAAAAATAAAGTTGCAAAAACATATACACAAAACAGAATATACAATATACATACACACATCTTGTCAAAACAAAATAAAAAAGATTTTTCACCTACCTACCTACTCGGTACCCTGAGAGGCGAGTAGGTAAGGGGGAAACAAACAATTTTTTAAGGGTGGCCTAACTTAGAGTTGGTCAAATAATATATCTCAAACTCTATGAATGTCGGGGGAGCTTGTGGGAAAGGTTTTACTTTCGTTTTTCTCCTCCCCAGTCCACGGTACCCTCATGCATAGATCAATGCTGCTGCACATTCACAAAGTTACAAGTGTGATAGAATCTTGATACAGTTTACATTGCTTCTAGATATCTAACTGAATAAAAATAGTCCACTTTCTACGTAAGGCCAAAACAAAATATAGGTGTGGTTACGGTTTCCCGATCGACCCTATTTATTCCCAGCGACCCTAAACATTTTATTGTCAATTTTCTTTAAAGTAAAAAAAATAAAAAATAAAATATGAATTGGACAGTTCCTGCTTTAAAAGTCACAACGCACATCCTTCGGACCTGGTTCATAAATAAAATATTTCAAGAAAATAAAATGTTTTCCCTACCTACCTACCCTATTTCTTTTCGGCATGTAACGGTAACCACACATATATTTTGTTTTGGCCTAAAGAAAAGTGACGAATTCAGTTAACTGTCACGAGGTTTTGTTCGTGTGGCGAATCATGCATTGAGGGAGTTCAAGCCCTCGGCTCTAGATGTTTTGGATACCCCGTCTACGCTCAGGAATGGAGCGCATTCGTTTACAAGTTTGCCTAAACAGCCGTTGCGATAACCGTAGTATTTCAGCGTAATATGAGGGGAAAAAGTGCCGGTCAGGAGGACCGGCAGTTTCGTAGAGATGGTGGCCGAAGCAAAAACTTGGTGGCCTCGGGCCTCCGGGTCGGCACTAATTTCGAACGCTGGCCCCTGCAACAACTCCCAACAACCTCAACAGCTCCCAACATCCCCCAACAGCTCCCAACATCCCCCAACAGCTCCCAACATCCCCCAACAGCCCGCTAACAGCTCGGCTGACTCTGCAGGCGCTGTGCGACCTGTTCCTTGCGTCGAACAGCGTTCGCGAGGAGCTGATGAGCGAGGGCAACATCAAGTACGACGACCACTGCCGCGCGTGCCACAAGCTCGGCGATCTGCTCTGCTGCGAGACGTGCTCGGCCGTCTACCACCTCGCCTGCGTCGATCCGCCGATGGAGGAGGTGCCCGACGACGAGTGGCTGTGCAGCATATGCATCGCGCATCAGGTAGGTGGCGCTAGTCATCGCTCGCCGGGTAGGTGGCGCTAGTCGTTGCGCGTCGGGTAGGTGGCGCTAGTTGTCGTGGATCAGGTAGGTGGCAACTTCATCTTGTAAGGTTTGTAACACTAAAGAGTAAAGATTAGTGAAGTAAAAATGTTGCTATCAGGTAAGGCTTAATTGGATTATCTGAGCTGCTGATTTAAAGTCATATACATTAATGATATGTGTCCGCACTTTTATATCATTGTATAAAACAAATTACTCATAGCATATATACAGGTTAAAGTCCCCAATATGAAATAACATATCAGGCCATAATAAAAATATTGTTTGTTTGCCCTCACCTGACCAGACCCGCCAAAAAGGGGCCGGCTCAAAAATGTTTATTGATCTTTCCCATTTTTTAAATATTTTTTTAAACAAATTGTATCACTGTACATTATATAAATGTACCAAGCAAAACAAACATTCAACATAAAACTAAAGGTATCTCCACACAAGCAGACCCGAGCATGTAGACACCATGCTGAATTTGTAAAACGACCCCCCCTAAAAAAAGCCTACCTACCTACCCAAACTTTTCAGTCTGAATCAGGTGAGGGCAAACAAAGATTTTTTTAATTGTGGCCTCACTTAGCCTAAATTCAGTTTAAACGCGACTTAAGGTGGCAGCACAATCACTCTGGTTGTAAGGCACACCAATCATTGGTGTATATTATTATATAATTCAGGTTGAGTAAATACTCCGTGATTTACTGTTGGACTGTTCAACCACCGTGCCAAGTCCTGTGTGCTGCAGTGGCTGGGCCGAGTGTAGTGTAGTGACCCGAGAAGAAGAGAAGACTGTTGGACTCCCTGATTTGACATATATGCAGGAGTCCGTGTGACTCCCTGAAAATTCTGCTATACTAACTAGTTCGTTCCAGAGCACGGCCTCGCGGAATTACTGTATTTTTTCAGCTAATGTCCAAAGAAAATTTGGCAGACATGCAACTGCATGAAGCACATGCGTTATTGTTAATATCTTTAATTTTGAACCTCAGACTGCGGACTCCCTCATTTTGCTGCGGACTCCTTTTTGAGGGTAGGGAGTCTGTTGGACTCTCGTGTTCAAAAGTTAATTTCTACCCCTGCACCTTGAGATTCATTTTTTGCTTGTGTTTCTACTCGCCAGGTACCCGGCGTCACTGATTGCTTATCGGAAGCTGAGAGAAGTGGCATGCTGGTCAGACACGACCCTCTCGGATACGACCGATACGGACGCAAGTACTGGGGAGTTGTCAGGCGCGTGGTCGTGTACGTACAGTTACGGTCATAACCTACATACACTACACAATCTATTATCCGATATTCTGAAAACCGAAAAGCTCCGAAAACCGAAAGTTTTTTTGTGGAGGTCGTCTGCACACCAATCTTGCATTTGGTGCCAAAACTCGACCCGACGAATAATAATGGGTTTGGCATTACTTCTACATATTGTACTGTACCGGTACAGCACTTGGCCTCTTGAAAACTTGGGTTTTAGTATTGGCTAGTTGCAGGATATACGGTATGTATATATCTGTACTGTACTGCCATTCCGAAATCCGAAAAATTCCGAATTCCGAAACGTGTCTGGTCCCAAGGGTTTTTTGGATAATAGATTGCGTACTGTATCATGATGGAAATCCTTTGTGTAACCCTCTAAGAATGTATAATATTATCAGGAGTGAATAATAATAAATTAATAATACTCCTGATAGTATTATACATTCTTATTTACATATTGTTAATGTGGAACATATTAATAATGCATAATCATGTACCTGCGATCATCGTTATCCATGTGTATATCATTGTCATCATCATTGTTACCCGCACCTGTGTGACATTCTAACTGTCATTGTTGTCACCATCATCGTTGCAGGGAGTCTGACGATGACGTGTGGTACTACAGTACGCCGCGACAGCTCACTGTCATTGTCATCATTATCGTTACCCACATCTGTGTGACATTCTAACTGTCATTGTTGTCACAATTGTTACCCGTACCTGTGTGACATTCTAACTGTCATTGTTGTCATCACCATCGTTGCTTGCAGGGAGTGTGGCGATGAGGTGTGGTACTACAGTACGCCGCGACAGCTCACTGTCATTGTCATCATTATCGTTACCCGTATCTGTGTGACATTCTAACTGTCATTGTTGTCACCATCGTTGCTTGCAGGGAGTGTGACGATGACGTGTGGTACTACAGTACGCCGCGACAGCTCACTGTCATTGTCATCATCATTCTTACTCGCATCTGTGTGACATTCTAACTGTCATTGTTGTCACCATCGTTACCCGTACCTGTGTGACATTCTAACTGTCATTGTTGTCACCATCGTTACCCGTACCTGTGTGACATTCTAACTGTCATTGTTGTCACCATCGTTACCCGAGTACCTGTGTGACATTCTAACTGTCATTGTTGTCACCATCGTTACCCGTACCTGTGTGACATTCTAACTGTCATTGTTGTCACCATCGTTACCCGCATCTGTGTGACATTCTAAAGTTCTGTCATTGTTGTCACCATCATCGTTGCAGGGAGTCTGACGATGACGTGTGGTACTACAGTACGCCGCGACAGCTCACAGAGCTACTGGAGGTACTCGACGGCAAATACTACGAGGCGTACCTCGTGCGCCAGCTCGAAGACGTGCGCGACGACCTCGCGAAACAAATGAGCATCACCGAGGAGCTGACGAACGCGGCGCGCGGCGCGAAGACGACCGTGCTGCAGCTGGAGAGCGGTAAGGGATGCGTCGCCACGACGACCATGTATCGATCTATTAATATATATTTATATATATATATATATTTATTACAAATGTAAACGTTCGATTTCCGGAGACAATTGTCGACATAATAATGTTAACCTTTTTTACAGGAATTTGTCGGGAGTTATCTATGAGTTGTAAGGCGTCGTCGGTCACGATCAGTTTTATCTAGGACAGCGAAATGTTAACCGAGTACACTCTTCAATCGCACCCTGTATCGCCTACTCGACGATTAGTAAACACTAAAAATTGCGCACGGTGTAAGTTTGATGATTGCCAGACACAAAAGTCATGGGCTCAATTGCAAGGAGTTTCATTGACCGTAGCATATAGTCCAGTACGTGTGAGGACCTTGTCCGTGCCGAAGCAACCTGCGTGTTACAGACTGTACGTACCTGTATGTTATAGACGGTACGTACCTGTATGTTACCGACGGCACGTACCTGTATGTTACCGACGGTACATACCTGTATGTTACCGACGGTACGTACCTGTATATTACCGACGGTTCGTACCTGTATGTTACCGACGGTACGTACCTGTATGTTACCGACGGTACGTACCTGTATGTTACCGACGGTACGTACCTGTATGTTACCGACGGTACGTACCTGTATGTTACCGAGGGCACGTACCTGTATGTTACCGGCTTTACGTACCCGTATGTTCCCGACGGTACGTACCTGTATGTTACCGACGGTATGTACCTGTATGTTACCGACGGTACGTATCTGTATGTTACCG